TGCACGAAATGAACACTTTCTAATGGCAGATTTATTCGGTTTGAAATAACCCAAATCTTCTGAACAAAATTTTGAAGGTCCCTGATTGATTTGGCTCATGTACTGTGGTTAGCACATAGAGCACTATAAACTACTATTAATTTACTTTTACCCTAGAATTATAATTGGAAAGTAAAATTTCCAAACAGTAAACATCAGCTAAATCACCACCTTTCCCACTCAAGTACATGTGAAATTAAAGGAAAGCCGTTAGGTCTAGAGCCCTGACATAACAAGCAGTCCGAGGGTGGAACTACTACAATAACCATGATTTCTGAGATACCATTTACTTTTGAGGCATTTTTTCGAGCACAGGGAGTTAAATCTCAACAATAAAACTAGTGAAGTTGTGTATAGCCAGAGATCTAGTTTACTTTGAAGGTTTTAAATATCGAATATTGCGGAAACATCGGATGGCCATAATTCATATCGGATTGCAAATATCAGGGAAATATCAGGGATATGTGATAAATATCGGAATGCCATAATGGATATTTGCATACATAGTATAATGCACTAAAATGTAATCTCAACATACTTATTGAAATCTAAGCATACAAAATATAAATAATATACGTTTAGGATCATTAAACAACTTTGTAAAACAAATAGAAGTACAAACTAGCATTGTAACATTTCACCTACGTTTTTTTAGGCCAAAATGTCCTTTGACATAATGAAAAAATTATGATATCTCGCCCAAAAATTACCAAACACGGTATATTATTTTGTGACAAGACATATAAAAGCATATATCAGCCAACATATTGGCCGATATATCAGCCATATCAGGGATATATCGTCCAAAATAGACAAAAAGCGGTAAATGATATTTAGAGACCATAACGTGGCAAGCCCTGTAAAAGGATAAATCGGGCAATATATCCGTCATGTCGGGGATATTTAAAACAATGTTTCGAAGACTAGAAACAGAAATATAAAGAAAAATGAGAGAACAGAATCAGGGAACATCCGCCTCAGAAACAGAGTGATAGAGGTGCAACTTAAGCTAATGATAACAAAAAATACAAACATTAAAGATCCAGAGTGTGTTTGCAGAAATAACTTCTTGAGCTGCACAATATTTTCTAATATACTGCTAGAAATCCCACACTTTATGTTTTCAGTACTCTTACTGTGTAGAATACTTGGATACTTCTTGGGCACTCATAACTCTTCAGTTCAAAGATTATGATTATAATCACCATTTTCATTGTTACCAGACTGAAAATTTTGTTCAGAAGATATCAGAAATCAGTGTGTACGAGTATCAATCTAAATTTATTTTGTTGACCTACTGATGGTTTTCTTATAATTAAGAACAAGAAGAGGAAGTCGGTGCATATATACACACAAGTTCTAATGTACCTATAAGACATGGGTGTGTGCTCATGGGTTCTCAGAAGGTGCAATGGTGATAATTTACAGATCTGAACAAATTGGCACCCATGCATATCCCAATGTGCTTTAGGCACTTGAAAACTAAAGGGTTCCAAGTTATAGAAACAGAACAGAAATACAGAGAAAAAGTATTGTCATCTACCTTGCCACAGATCGGACAAAATTCACTCCTTTCCATTCAGTTCAAAGATTATGATTATAATCACCATTTTCATTGTTACCAGACTGAAATTTTTATTCAGAAGATATCAGAAATCAGTGTGTAAGAGTATCAATCTAAATTTATTTTGTTGACCTACTGATGGTTTTCTTATAATTAAGAACAAGAAGAGGAAGTCGGTGCATATATACACACAAGTTCTCATGTACCTATAAGACATGGGTGTGTGCTCATGGGTTCTCAGAAGGTGCAATGGTGATAATTTACAGATCTGAACAAATTGGCACCCATGCATATCCCAATGTGCTTTAGGCACTTGAAAACTAAAGGGTTCCAAGTTACAAAAACAGAACAGAAATACAGAGAAAAAGTATTGTCATCTACCTTGCCACAGATCGGACAAAATTCACTCCTTTCCATCCACTCATATATACAGCCCAGGTGAAAATGGTGAGCGCATTTAGTAATAATTTTTGGATTCTCAGGAGTATATTCTGCAAAGAAAAGAGGTAAAAGAGTAAGAATAGTAAATATGACAATTGATGTTCAGTTACTGATCTTTCAAACACTTTCTTCAGTTGTCAAAAAGAACAAGAAAGTCTAGATTTTCACAAACAAGCAATCCCAAATACCCATGTTATTACTAATTTAAGGATTCACAATGTACATTTTTACTTATGCAAACAATAGAAAAACTTTCAAACATAAACTTCTGTAGATTCATGGATTTCAGTGACCATATGAGAATACCTTTTCAAAGGGATATCAACATGAAAATGAGAGAGATTAAAATAAATGGTCTACAGGTAGATGAAACGAGGGAAGGTCAGAGAGAAGCAGAAAGAGAAGAGAGAGGGACTGCATATGCTTAAGATTTTAGTAAAGTTGCAACTTTGCCATGTTTATATGCTTGCTAACTTGTGCATCAACCCACTAGAGGCAGCAAAAACTAAAAAGTCAAAGTCTCCATCACAAATACCTGATATAATTATTGAAGATAGTCAGAATATATGCTTACTCGACGAATTTACGAATAACGTGTCGAATATATTATACACATTCAGCAGTAAGAGTTCATAAAACAATTTACTAATATTTATAAAGTTCTTTTTTTTTGGATAATCATATTGGGTGAGGAACAAACTGTGAGACCATACTGCTACCATCATCACAATGATAAGAAATGAAGTTACCATCAAGACAAGTAGGGCAGACATCTTCATCTTCTGAGGTAGCCAAAATGTAACCTGTACCATATAAACCTTTTGCAGATGTAAATCTCGCTGACTCAGAGCGGCAAGATTTACACTCTTCTTCTGCATCTGCACTGTTTTTCTTCTTCCCTGAACCCAGATTTTCCACACATGAACTACTACTGCTTCTAGTAAGCAATTGTGAATCCTCTTGTATATGGCTCGTAGATTTCTCACGTCTTGAGACAAGCCCATCACGTTGTAAACGGGAATACCTAGAATCTGTATCATAAGGGGCAGGTCTCGGAAGAAGGTGGTGGGTCTCAGAGAAGGAACTGTCAGCTGATGGGTTACTGAGTCCTGTCGATGTCAGTGGTGGCACTCCTTGGGAAGATGAAGTGACTGCTCTCCCTTCAAGCCTTTGAAACATAAACTACAGAAAAGCATGACAATGATTATAAAAGGATAGAAATAATAATGACTTCATTATTGGACCGTAATACTAGATTTGTGAAGACAATTCAATTCGGTGATCATAATTGAATGAACACACTCATCTTGATATCTATCCATTGAGTGAGATTCTAGAAATATCAATAAATTCATTGAGAATTAAATCTTTAAAATGTTACTAATATTTTATCCCTAAATTGTCCAGCTAGTTAAAGAAGCATTCAGATACTGCAGTAAAATAACTCTACAATTAGGTAATAGCTAAATCACAGCATTTTTATGTGGAGAGCTTTATAAAGAAAGCAAGCATAATAATGGAAAATTTCAAATTCATTGGACAGGATTCATATACCAGTTTCAAAATTATTTTATTGATTGTATGAAAATGTATTCACGCAAGAACGAACACCCATCACCCACCCACACACACTCATCACCCACACATGCGCATCCCCATATTTTTATTTGTTTGCATAAACTTAAAACAGAAGATGATTTAGATCAAAACAACTGGATCTTAATGATCGAACTGACAAGAAGTTTAAATTGCATAGAGACAAATGAAAGTAGTTACCCCACTAAACAGCTGATGAAAGAAGTATCTGAGACATATGCAGTGTCTATAAATCGAACTGCTTGGATGAGCATATTCTTCAAAATCCTCCCCACATGGGCAGCAGCAAAATGCACCCATACTCCAAGTTCACTAGCAGATCTGAACATTAGATAAAGGTCAAGAAACGGAAACATCTAAAGGCAACAGAAGAAAGAAGTGAACTTTGAAGAGCATCAATATGGGTTCTAACTGAACAGAGACATTTACAATACCAAAAGATTGTGCAGGCTCATTGCAGTTTTGTATCCTCCAAAATAGTGGTAGATGCAGGATCAAAATCATGAAGCTTGTTTTTATGAATAATAAAGTGCACTTCAGATCCTACATGCTAAGTGATGTGGATACAAACATCTGCCTTAGTCAAACATCAGTAAGGCTTTAAGCTGCAACCAAGTTCTTGTATAAAGAAGTTTATAGATCCACATTTCACAGGTGTATCCATGGCAAGAGTCGCAAGACAGGCACAGATTTCTAGTAAACCCAGGAAAACTTGTAGGTTTTCATCTGTAATACTCTATAAAGGACATAGACTCACTCTTCTCAACTAGATGGTATAGCCACAGAAGACATGCACAGATTTCTAGTAAAACCAAGAAAAATTGTAGGTTATCGTCTGTAATACCCTATAAAGAACATAGACTGCTCTTTTCAACTTGACGGAAGCTAATTAGTTACTTAAAAAGGAGATAATAATTTAGAGAAAAAGGTCACAATTTTCCTCATTTTCTCAAGATATAAAACATCACAAGAAGGCAGTTCCTAAAACATCACAAGATTTATGCGATCGTGACGATAACGGCATGTTCCCAATGATAAATGGTAATCATCAAGACCCTATCTCTGCATAAGCACCACAAACCAAAAACAATATTCCCGTCCAATTCATATTGTGATCAGAACATGGACAACCGGGTTTCCTACATTTTGACAAAATCTTCAACAACCTATTGCATTATCTCTGAAAACTCTGAACGATCTAAACGTTTTGGTATCTTAAAAATCTTCTTTTATCAGAACATGAAGCAGTAACTATATGCTATTGTTACGAAAATGATGAACTCTAGAGTTCCAATGTTTTAAAAAAAAATTGCTCCCATTTGATTGAAAACCTGAATTCTCAGTACTCAAAAACTTTCAAAAGATAAGTGGATGGGGAGACCCTATCATCCAATCATGATAAGCAGGTGGGGAAACCATTGGTTGGGTTCATGACTTTAATCAGCTCATTGCAATCCTGTGGACCCTTTCCATCAAACCTTCAAAACCCTACAAAATGCATCTCTCTTTCAAACCAAATTAAATTCCAAAATAAGTTCATGAAAATGCAACTAATAGATAAGATGAAGGGCTCCGAAGTCACTCCCAGCATTGATGAACCTTCTAATCAGAAGCCACAAAATTAAAAAAACTCTACAGAAAGAGGCTCATTTTGTGATACAAATTACAGTTCCTCATAGAAATCAAGCTTACGATCAGAAAATGCAGAAAAAAATCAACTGTTCTCGCTCTTGATACAAAACTTGACGACCGTTATGTCAAAATCTCTTACTTCTTTGCGAAATGAACTAAAATCTAGTTTATTTAGGAACTAATTTTTTCCCATAGCTACCAAAATCTTGAGGATCCATCCTATTAAAACCCCTCAGTTTTCAAAAACCTACGAAACACGGTAGGCTCCTTCTGCCAATCAATTCAGTTCCTTGAAATTCGTTTTCTAATTCTCATTACAAGAAAAAGGAAAACTAGATTAACCTAAATTCTGAGCACCCATTTCATCCAAACCCTTAAAACTCAAAACCTTACAAAAAGCAGCTCCTTTATCAGAAAATATCCCAGTCCACCCCAAGTTCATGTGATCGTGGTGAGAAAAGAGGAAAATATGAGCATCTAGTAACGCAGCGCGGAAGTGATAAACCTCGGAATCCACCAAGGGGTGTTCTCTGAATCCATAAAGAACAATCTTTGAATCCACAACGAACAATTTTCGAATCCACGAAGAGACAACCTCGAATCCACAAAGTAATATAAAAGAGAATTTTATTAATTAAAGTGATCTGATCTAAACAAAGTCTAATCCTAATAAGAACAGAATTCCAAAAAGAAAGAAACAATTTAAAACTACCTAAAAGACTCTCTATAATAAAGGAAATAAATCAATCCTAATTAAATCAAAATTGATTTTATTTTCTAATCTAAATAGACTCTAACATTAATACTAAAAATAAACTAAATATTAATTATTTTCGGATTTCTACTAATAACTGGTGATACTGATGAGATTCCAAAAATCTGACAATTCGGTTAGTTTTGTCTCATCAAGATAGGCGATTTACATATATAATATATCAGAATCTACTTTCTGGATTAGAAAATATGGTCGTCTCTTTTTAAAAATTAATAATATGTATATATGCGCATTTAACTTGTGATTATCTCAATCCTCCATGAAATTATCCGTTAAGCATCATATATCAATCTCCACTTGTTGAAAGAAGCTTGACCCCGAGCTTATATTTGTTTGAATAGCAGCTTCCTTGATAAACATTTTTCTTCTCCTGCATCAATCAACGTCTGCCTTATACTTAGCATTGATTTTCTCCATCAGTTCTTTTACCTTCTCAAGTAGGTCTTCTTCAGAATCAAACTTTTAAATGAATATTTCCCATATTATTTTAATATAACTGATGGCATGTGGATCTAAAGAAGACTTGACTCCTACAAATTATTTCCTTGTTCTTTTTATATTCTTGTGCCTGCAATTTCATCTCAATCTTGTCAAAATTATTGACACTCTTTATTTCAAGAGAAGAATTTCTCTTGCACTCCATCTCCTTTATTTTGGGTCATCCACTAAGCAATGCACATATATCATCAATTGCTTTACTCTTTATTTTATCTTTTTCCTCCATTGGAATAACAACAATATGTGCAATATCACTCACAACCTCTTTGAGAATATCATGCATAATATCAGTCGTCATTAATATATCACCATCAACATCAGGAACCTCAAGATGAATCTTAATGGTGACAAAATCTTCCTTTTTGGTGGTATCTTGTTGTCTGCCACTAGAATAATCTTCTTCTTAGTAACCTCTAACTTAAATGCCTCTGATTCTATAATTAACATAATTGATGAAGTCTTTGTTGTTCCTTCTTCGGTGCTCTTCCCAAATCCAGACTCTTTCTCATAGATGAATTGATGTTTCTTAGTTTTGCCATAATCATAACTAGTTTGATAACTCTCTAAAAACATCCATGATGAAGGTCATTTGTCATTCTGTTCAAGTTCTCGCTCCACCTTCTTCTCTAGACGGACCGTGTCTGCTAAGATAAAAAAATCTTTGAAAGACACCCGATATTGTTTGTAGTTAGAAGGTAAGAAACGGTCTCTCAATAATTTTTTCATCTTTGCCCACGTTCGAACTAGATCATTTCCTTGATGGTATCAATTTATCAATACTTCATCCCACCATGCAGATACTTGCCCTTTAAGTCTATAAACCACTAATTTAACTTTTTAATCTTCTAGGATTATCTCATACTCAAAAAACTTATCCACTTCATCAATCCAATCAAGGAAATCATCAGCATAAAGCTTTCCATTGAATAATGGTATCTTTAATCCTTTAGCGTCATAATTGTCCCGTCGACGGCAGTCTCTGCGATCATAATCGCGGTGTGGGGCTTCACAGTCATTACAGTCGCTGTTGAATTCGTCCTGTTGAGTCCGATCACGTCGTTAGCGACTATCAACGCGATTTTGAACTCCTATCATGTTCAGACACTCCATTGCTGACGCAAGTCGATCTACGGTAGTCTTAATCTGATGAGCATCGATCTTCAACTCATCGAACTTAGTTTGAGAAATAGGGGCTTCGTCGTCTGCCATCGAATCGAAAAAACAGGTCTCTGAAACCAATTGACGCAGCACGAAAGTGATAAACCTCGAAATCCACCAAAGGGTGTTCTCTGAATCCATAAAGAACAATCTTCGAATCCACGAAGAGACAACCTCGAATCCACAAAGTAATATAAAAGAGAATTTTATTGATAAAAGTGATCTGATCTATGATGTTTACAATCCTTCTTCTTAAATAGAAAAAAAAAATCTACTCCTAATAAGAACAGAATTCCTAAAATAACGAAACAATTTAAAACTACCTAAAAAACTCCAAGGAAATAAATCAATCCTAATTAAATTAAAACTGATTTTATTTTTTAATCTAAATAGACTCTTAACTTTATTACTAAAAATAAACTAGATATTAATTATTTTCGGAATTCTACTAATAATTTGTGATACTGATGAGATTCCAAAAATCTGACGATTCGGTTAGCTTTGTCTCATCGAGATAGGCGATTTACATAGATAATATGTCAGAATCCGCTTTCTGGATTGGAAGATATGATCGTCTCTTTTTGGAAATTAATAATATGTATATATGCGCATTTAGCTTGCGATTGTCTCAATCCTCTGTGAAATTGTCCGTTAAGCGTCCTACATCATCTAGCAATGCAATTTATCACTGAAGAATAGAGCTTGAGGATTCAGGGCTTCACAAGAATTCTCAGCAAACGATCAGCTAAATGTTTTCCATATTTTACCAAAATACTGAGAATCAGTCGCATCAAAAATCACTCAAACACACTGAAAACCCACAAAGAGGAGACATCTTCCACCAAATCAATCCAAATGCCTCATATTTCCTCTATAACTTCCCATGACAAGAAAATGGGGCAAATTAGATTAGTTGTTCTTACATTTCACCCATTTCACCTAAATCCTAAGCTCTTTCAGCAGACAAGCCTCCAATCCAACCAAACCAATGCAATTTCGATTGGAAAAGAGCATCAAAACACTGAGAACCCATTACGTCCAAATCCTCAAAACCAACTCAAAAATCCTAATTAAATAAAAAGACAGCTCCTTTAGCGAACAAACATCCGATCAATCCCAAACTCATGCAATCGCGACGAGAAAAAAGAGGGTAAATTATAATTTATAAGCATATAAAAATGCAAGTGATTAAAGAAGAGTGGAGGAGGTTAAGGCTTCAGGGGATCGAACCTGGAGACGCCAAATTGCAGTGAAAATCAGATGAAAGCAACGAAAAAGATGGAATTTTTTAGGGTCTTTCAGTTGCAGAGAAAGAGGAAAGGAGAGAGGACTTGGGGATTTGGTGGAGCATCGCTGTGCTCTCAGTGGAGTCCATATTGTTTACTGGTGTTTTCTCTTAAAAAAATTCCCCACTCGACATTTTTATCCATATCCGTATCTGTTACAAACCGGAGACTATTACTAAATATTTTTATCCAATAACACATGCAAATGAATGCGGATACATAGTAAACTATTCAGATTTGTGTCTAAGATACCTAAATACATACTCATCATGCACCCGTAATCATTTTTATCCTTAGATTAACAAACTTGAAGTTTATTTGATGATAAGAGATTTGTTACTTTTCTTATATGGAATAAGAAGAACTTCATTTAAGTTGAATTGGAATTTGATAATTATCGCATTGATGAATTTGTTTTACAAAGGTTCTATATGTAGATATACAGCCTAGCCTTATATGGTAAAATACAATAAGGAAAGGGCTAATTATAAGGAATTTGTATCAATCACGATCAAATTTAATATTTATCTCAATACTCCCCCGTAAGCTAAGGGCGGGAAACGACCTGAAGCTTGGACCACAAAAAATCGATAACGCTGAGATTCAAGCACCTTAGTGAGAATATAGGCTAGCTGGTGATGAGTTGAGATAAACTGAACCTGTAAATCACGACGAGCTACCTTCTCTCGAACAAAGTGGAAATCAATTTCCATGTGTTTAGTGCAAGCATGAAACACCGGGTTGGCCAACAGATAAGTGGCCCCAAGGTTATCGCACCAGAGAGTCAAAGAGGAGCGAAAAGAGATACCAAATTCTTGAAAGAGGGACTGTAGCCATGTGAGATAGGCAGTGGTGTCAGTAATAGCCTTATATTCAGACTCAGTGGAGGATCGGGAGACAGTGTGATGGTTGCGAAAGGTCCAAGAGATGAGACAGACGCCCAGAAAAATGGCAAAACCACTGGTGGAGCGACGGTCATCCGGACATCCCGCCCAATCAGAGTCACAAAATAGACCTCACACAAGAATGGAGAGTCTCGACAGATGACTAGGCCATGGGATGAAGTGCTACGAAGGTACCAGAGGATCCGTTTGATGGTCATCTAATGATCATCAGTAGGTTAGTGCATGAATTAGCAGACCTTGTTGACAATGAAGGCAAGATCGAGACGAGTAAGCGTGGCATACTGAAGGGCACCAACTATCTGACGATACTTGGTAGGGTCCGAGAAGAGTGAGACAGATCCCTTAGAGAGAACCATGAAAGTAGACATAGGAGTGGACACTAGTTTAGCATCGAAAAGGCATGCTCGTCGGAGAATATCAAGGATGTACTTTTGTTGGGACAAAAGGAGACCGGAGCCATGGGGGACGATCTTAATACCAAAAAGTAATGAAGAGAACCCAAGTCCTTGAGCAAGAACTCCATGGAGAATGCGTAAATGACATGGGCAATATGGTCCGAGCTATTACCAGCGACAATAATGTCGTTAACATAAACTAAAATAAATAGTTTAGTTGTACCATGGGCATACATGAAGAAAGAGGAGACAGTCTTTGAGCCAACAAATCCATTTGCCACCAAAGCATGTGACAAACGATGGAACCAAGCTCAAGGGGCCCGTTTCAAGCCGTAAATAGATCGGTGAAGATGACAGACATGATCGGATCGAGATGGATCAACAAACCCCGAAGGCCGAGACATGTAGACGGTCTCAGTAAGGGACCCATGGAGGAAGGCGTTCTAAACATCTAGTTGCCGAAGTCACTAACCTTGCAAGACGGCAAGAGAAAGAATAGTCTGGATGGTCGTCGGCTTGCCACCAGACTAAACGTCTCCTCAAAATCAAAACCTGGTTGTTGATGGAAGCCTTTTTGCAACCAGGCGCACCTTATAGCGCTCAATGGAGTCGTCGGCCTTCTGTTTGATCTTATAGACCCACTTGCAACCTACAACATTCATAGAATTCGTAAGGAAGAGTGCATCGTTAGGTTATGAGGTCATGCACTGAAGCAGCCATCGTTCAATCATCATTACTTTAGCGACTCAGCGTGTGCTTGACAAAGGGGGTGGTGACCGAGAGAAAAGGACTTTGGGCTTCATATTCGGGCGTAGTTGCATGGGGGTGAGATTTAGTCGGTGGGCAAAGGGAAATAGGAGGGGCGCCTCGTATCGGGATAGGGAATAGGGATTCGGAGCTATCTGATAACAAGGGGGTCGAAGACGGAGAGGGAGGGTCCTAGGACTGTTGGGCCGAGATGGAGGGCAGCAAGGTCGAACCTCCAGCAGGCCCGTAGTCCTGGTGGAGGTCATGACCACTGCCTGCTTTGGCTGAGGCAGGGCCGGGCGCTAGGCTTCCTAGGCCAGCTATGCTGCCCAAGAGCTGCCCAAAGGACTGGATTGGAATAGGCTGTGGAGGACAAAGGCCGAGCAATATAGTGTATTTGGAGGGGAAGGTTCAAGTGCGGGACAGCAAAACAGAAAGGTGTGCTCATCAAATCTCACATGCCTCACAATATACAATTTTTCTGTATTAGGGTCAAGATACTGATAGCCATGGTGATTAGGACTATAACCAAGAAAAATGCACTAGGATGAACCCATTTTATGAGAATTATAGGGTCTAAGGTAAGGAAAGCAATAACATCGAAAACCTTTGAGAAATAAATAATCTAGAATTTTATGGAAAATGCACTCAAAGGGAGATTTTGAAAGAGACACTTTTGAGGGCATACAATTAATTAAGTAAACCACACGGTCGAAGGCAAAGTGCCAAAATTTGTGCAGAACACCCGAATGAACCAAAAGGGAAAGGTCGGTCTTAATAATGTGACGGTTGAGATGTTCAACCGTTCCATTTTGTTCAAGGACATGAGGACAAGAAATGCGATGCACAATACCTAATTGAGAAAACTAGTCTGTGATTTTGCAAAATTCACCACCCACTCCCAGTTAGTTTGAACCGATTTTAATTTAGTATCAAACTGATGTTCAACCATAGAAACAAATTTGGGAAAAATACCAAACAAATCAGACTTTTTATAAAGAGGATAAAACCATACATACTTCGAGAAGTGATCAACAAAAATAATAAAATATTTATGACCATCACTAGCTAAAGTTAGGGCAGGCCCCCAAACATCGCTAAAAACAAGTTCCAAAACCAAACTACTAATATATCGCGACAAAGAAAGAGACAACTTTGACGATTTCCCTAACTGACAATCATTACAAAAATAATCAACCAAACTAGAGGAACAGGAAAGTGCATTTTTATTAATCATAGATCTAAGCAACTGTCTATGCGGGTGACCCAACCGACGATGCCAAATTGCAAGCGAGGCACATTCAGCCGAAAACACGGCATGACTTATTGAATGGAAAGGGAATATACGAAGTGAATAAATTTCATTTTCACTCGGGCCGGTAAGGAGGGGCTGTTTAGTAACTCAATCCTTCACAACAAAAAAATTGGGGTGAAATTCAAAGAAAACATTATTATCAGTAGTAAATTGACGAATGAATAATAAGGCTTTCGAGATTGAAGGAACGTGTAATATATTAGGCATGAGAAATTTAGCGGACGATGTACATATGTTTGGTGAAAATTTTGTAGCAAAAAGAAAAATTAAAAGAAATATATTTGATTTGTATTCTCTCAATCTCAATTACAATTTGGATTTACTGATTATAAAAAAGAGGAGAATTGATCTGAGTTCTCCCCTTTGTTTAATTCTGGGTTCTTCACGATGGCGATGGAGTGCCTCCTTCGAATGCTTGCGTCGAATTTCCTCTCCGTTGACGATCCACATGTCTCGATTCACTAGAACCACTAACTTGCGTGGCCAGTTTGATTAAGAACTTTTAACGAGTTTTGTAACTTAGAACGAGTTGTAACTCTTATGATGAGCTTGGAAAATATGGCCGCACAACGCACACTTAGCCTTCTGGGTGAGAAGCTTACCATGTTCATCCATTGTGACACCTATCTTCTCGAAAAAATTCCATACATCGGATCTCGGCCTTTTAGGAGCTTTTGGTGCAGAATCGTCTCCACCAGAGTCGTGATCAACATCAGTAGGAGTAGGAGTAGTAGCTGTAGCTACTGTTGTAGGAGTATTAGGACTCATTTCAAGATTGGGAGTTGGGTTTTGCCCTTCATAATCAGAGGAGGAAGTCATTTGATTGAAGAATTACAGAGGAAAAGCGAGCATTAGAGAGTATAAGAGAGTATTAGAGAGTATAAGATGAGTTTTGGATGAGAAAACAAATGAAAAACCCCTAGACAAATGACCAAAATACCCTCAAATTTTGACCGTTTTTAGGGTATTTTGGTCAAAAGACCAAATATGACCGTTTTTGGTTGTTAGGACTGGGCCGGCCGGCTCCGGAACCCGGTTTGGGCCAAACCCAGCCCTGGGCTGGCCGGGCACCGGGCCGGGTCTGGGCCTGGGCCTGGGCCTCAGGCCCAATTGGACACCCCTAGGTTAACCCCACCATTTTTAACTCGACGAGTTACAAGAATGTAACATCAGTGGACTAAATACCCTCAGTAACAGAAAACCCCCACATATCCTGAATTATTGTTTAAGGTATTCGAATTAAGGGTATTTTTGACATTTTACATTGATCAATTACGGCGTTATGGGGTTATGCACTTATGCAGGGAGAAGTTAAAAGTGTGCGGGGTTATGCGAGACACCATAATGTCAAGAGGGTTTAGTGGAATAACCAAAGTTCAGACTGTGTCGTGGTAAATACCCAAAAGTATGGGGAGTTTTTGTGAAATTTACCTCAAAAACTGATAGGTACAGTCTGCAGCATGATCCAAGCGCGCTCTCTCTCTCGCCAGAGACTTCTAATTACCACTCGTCTTCAAAAATTGCAGAGAAATCGGAGGGAATAGAGAGAGATGATGGCAAATGCCTTTTCCCTCCGATTTCTTTGCTTCAATAACTTCGACCCTTTTACCCAGTCTCTCTCTCTCTCTCTCTCTCTCTCTCTCATCATTCATAGCAAAAAGAGAAAGCAATGGGAAGGAAGAAGAAGAAGGAGGTGATCAGGTTAGAGAGGGAGTCCGTGATCCCCATTCTCAAGCCCAAGCTTGTCACCATACTTGCAGGCTCCATTGGTACGTTAAACTTCCAATAGCCTCGTCACAATTCATTTCGTTGCTATTTTTTTTAAAACCAATTCAATGTGTGAATATAGCCCTTTTGAAATGCGATAAAGCCCGTTAGCGAAAATGATATGTCGCATGTACAAAGCAAAGTGTGCATGTATTAATTGTTTGTTGTAATGGTGTGTGAGATTTTGTGAACAAGGGTCATGCATGTCTCGATGCCAAGTGTATCGCTTGGTTGTTGCTTATTGTCCATTTGTTTGTTATTTACTTGTGAGGTGTTGTCGTCATGAATTATGATGGGGGCTTTTTGTTGGGGAAACCTCTTACTATGCCGAGATCCAAACAACCATCGAGAGAAGATAAACAACACACCAAAGATAGTACAAACACAAGATACACCAGATTTTACGTGGTTCGGCAATGGACTACGTCCACGGGGCAAGGAGGGGGGAGTTTTCACTATTAGAAATCAAGAGGAACAATCTAGGGTTACAAATCTCTCATAAACCCTTAATAAATCAACTCTTAATCTCTCCAATTGCTCCTAGAATAGAAGCCCAAAGAAAACCCACTCTCTTCAGCTCAAAACCTTGCTCTCCTAACCCTAGAATCGTGTTTTGGGTATTTATAGAAAACCCAAATGAAACGGGTCTGAAACCTAGATTCTGCCCAAACCGCTTCGGCGGTTGACCGTGATGGTCGACCGCGATGGCATCGCGGTCGA